AGAAATAAAAATATCTATTACCAGATTACAGTTCTGTAAGAAATGTATTTTCATACACAAATTTTATAATGAAATGGAAATGGAATTTTTAGGTGTTGTGATCTATTTAATTATTTTTAATATCATTGCCAACAATTAATGTATGTATTTTCTTAATATCTCGTTCTATTTGAAATTTCTAAAGGTGTTTTTGTTGTCAATGGTATTTGTGTACATTATTAAGAGCGTAGGCGCAAAATTTCGGACCAATGCTTTTTAAATGCATTTATTTTTTTCGAATCCTGGGAAAACTAACAAATATTTTTGAAAAATTTAAACGCTGAATGAAAGATTACATTATTACCGAGGGCCGAAAGTCCCTTAGAATAAACAAAAAGTTTTTATGAATGAGATATTTGAAATTAAAAATCACATTTAATTTTCTCTTCTTTTTACCCCTGTAACTTATTAAAATAAACATTATAGAAGTTTTTAGGGACTTTCGGCCCTAAGTAAAATATTCGCGATAAACATCACTCTGTGATGAAATAGAATCGCAGTTTTGATGACAAAAAATTTTCTCATTGGTTTTTTTCTCATTTATTCTAAGCCTGTATTGATTAGCTACTTCTTTTAATTTGCCTGTTTTTTTTTCTGCATTCGTACAACAACACCTGCTCTTATGCTAATTTCCTCTGATAGTTTCCCTCGATATTGAACACTAGCCTTAAAGTTTGCAAATCTTGATGAGATTTATATCTTTGAGAGATAAACTATACAGACCAGAATTTTATAAATCTTTTCTCTTTTAAGGAATCAAATGTTTTTTAAACACCTATGAAATTGATGCGTATACCATACCCGATTACGCTGGTTTTCTTAAATGTTATTCTTAATGTACTTAGTTGATCAAGATATTATTGACCTCCTCCGAATTCAGTTTGATTGGGCCTATAGACATCTAGGCTTCTGGTCCATTGCTTTCTTCAGTCTGTTTTTACTTTCGATTTAGTTGCACTTTTTGGAAGTAAACAACCTTTTGGTAGGACTTCATCCTTCCAAATGTTAAGTATCAAAGACTCATGTCGAGTTTATTTCATTTTTAATAGCTATGAAAGACAGCCCTGTCATAAGAACAATTAGCAAAGCTATGGTCACAAAAATTTATGTCTCGATAAAGGTTTAGATATGACTGAGTGTTGAGTGAACATCATCATTGTACGTAGACAATGCAGTTCAAGTCCAAAACAGACGTTTATTGAATAAACAGTTAAAAATAATTCAATACATTCCCTTAAATGTCGAAATATAAAGCATCAATACCATATTTTATTTTATTTTCTTCTTAGATTTCTTAAGGCTTGATGTATTCTTCAGTTATATTTAGCTTTTGTACAATGATAAGAATATAAAACCGTCTATATATGTAAATAATACCAAACTTGAGCAAGTTGATAAAATCGTCTACCTTGGACAGCAATTAAATTGTAATGCAGAAAATCACGGCAAAATTAGATCCAGAATAGAGCAGGCTAGAGCTGCTTTTAGAAGGATGTCCAAGGTGTTATGTAACAGAGACCTAAAATTGGCATTAAGGATCCGCCTACTTCGCTGCTACGTGTTCTCGGTGTTACTTTATGCTGTCGAGTCCTGGACTGTGAATAAAATCGATCTAAATCGCCTTGAGGCTTTCGAAATGTGGTGCTATAGAAGAATTTTAAAAGTTTCCTGGGTGGAGAAGATTCGTAACTCCACATTACTAGAACGTCTCAGCAAGACTACTGAGATCATAAAAAGCATCAAGCAGAGAAAGCTGGAATATTTCGGACATGTAATGAGAGGTCCCAAATATAGATTGCTACAAAATATCATGCAAGGAAAAATAGCAGGCAAACGCAGTCCAGGACGAAGAAGAACCTCATGGTTGAAGAACTTGCGAGATTGGTATGGTGTAGATACAAGCATGCTATTTAGGGTGGCAGTGAATAAAATTAAAATAGCTATGATGGTAACCAACGTTCTGAAAGGACATGGTACATGAAGAAGACAATGATAAGACAGGGTAGGTCAAAGCTGAGGTGGATAGACTGGTAATACTGGATGCTGAGGAGATCGTTATTGCCAACTAGAAAATCCAAGCAAGGGACAGAGCAGAATGGCGCAGAATGCTTGAGAAGGGTCTAGGCCTTTTAAGGGACAGTATCACCATAATGGTAATGATATTGAAAATTATAGCAAAATTTTATTTTCTGTGAGAGTTTCCTTGTCTGCATATTATATATGGTGATAAAGTGTTCACCTTTAACTATATTTACGTGTTTATTTCTATTCCGGATAATTTGTTTACTTATTTTTTACAAGTTTTTCATATCTTTGTTCTTTGTTCGGCTTCTTGCATTAAATTTTGTAAATATTGCATTTCGTGCAGAATTTTAAATTTCCTTACTTTTGTCACAATATTTTTTTGTCGTTTTTTTCTTTCGTCCTCATTTTCTTAGTTTAGATATCTATTTTCTTTTCTTTCATTTCAAATACAATACACAGTGGTACGAATTACTTCTTGTTCTATTCTGCGCATCTTATCCCAATCCCCAATCATGTTTGGTCCATTTTGTTATCTTGTTTGCTAGTTTTCGTTGCAGGACTAATTTTGCAAATTTTTAATTTTTTCTTCGTGACTTTATAAACATTGTTTTGTTAATGTCATCCTACTAAAAAACATTACTTAATAATAACAAATTTGGTTCCAATTACGCAGAAATTTGAAGGTCATTTTCACACAAAGGAAATGGGATTAATAGTATCAAAAAACTACCGTCCAATATGTCTATTAGAACTATTGTCAATGATAACCATCAAATAAATTAGATAATTACCATCTGTTGTTACGTGTCTATGAAACACTTGACAGACAACTCGTACACGCAGAGAAAATGTGCCTAACATTATCCTTTATAGTAATATATCATCACATAGTAATATATAAACTAAGTATTTTTGCATAGTTGAGTACTAATTTGCTTAAATTAATTACTATTTAACTCGGAATAAGCCACAATTAAAGATAAAAAATACGTTTATTGACGTTTCAATTTCCACTTCGGAAATCGTTCTCAAAATACAAATAGTAAATTAAACAAATTTTGTTTTTTGTTACATACTGAAAAATTCTTGTAATAATTTAATTTTATCTGACTCATTTATATTGACAATTCAGACATACATTATGCATTTTAAAGTAGACGACTTTAAAATGATATTGCCAATATTGTTGAGTTGCGCTCCTGGGACGACTTTACTTATAGTAATTTAGTTCATTCGATTACATGAAATCAACTTTAACTTAAGAATATCCGTCAGAAAAAAATCATAGCATATAATTCGTCTTTAAAAAGACAAACACATGACATGATGACAGTAAAATTCTCTTGTTACTGATTCCATAGTAAATTATGAGGGAAAAACCAGGAAAAAAAAAAACCTCATAATACTATCCCGACATTATTCCTTATTCCCAGTTAAATAGTAATTAATTTAAAACGCCACAAGAAAATAGCTTCAGAACAATACTAATTCGCTTACTTACAAATATGCAAAAAAATACCTTTGAGATGTAAGTGTATTTAAAATGTTTAAGAAAATATGCTGTAAAAGTAAAATTAAGGTAATAATGCTTAGAAAAATACGGCATTTTGCGGCTCCTAATCCAAAGAAAAATAGAGTGTGGAAGGAAGAAGAGTATCTTAAATAAAAAAACCTAAGAGAATGGTATCATTGCAGCTCAAAACAACTTTTAGAGCAGTTAGAGTGGTCATGATGATTACCAACCTCCGTACCGGAAATTTCACTTAAAGAAGAAGAAGGAATCTGATGTTTTATGTGGGCCGTGAATAAGGGTATATAGTTGTTCCCGTTACAACATTGGATTTCTTCGTCTCAAATCGTTCTATGGGTTTAGATGTTTGTTTTTTTCGTCTTATTTTCGTATTATTTATTATGTGTTTCACTTCTTTGACTTAATGCTCGCTTCAGTCTCCGTTCTATTTATTTTGTTAATCAAGATCACTATCCAGCACCGTTTTTACTCTTATTGTCGCATTATTTTTATTTGCGCTTATTTTTATTAATTTAATTAAAGATATTACTAATTTTAAACATTAATTATAACTTTCACTGTCAACTAATGGCAATTAACTGAGAATTTGTCCGCAAATAACCTCAACCAGTGGAGTACCCGGGCGAAACAAAAGTTGCGATGAAAACATTAATTCGTAGTATTAAAACACAATATAAAATTTTCCAACTGAATTCATTTCCTACAATCGATCAGCTAATTACGTTGTCAAGACTAGACAGTTTTTAGCAATTGAAATGGTATTTAAATATGTAATTTATGTACACAGCCATAGTTTATGACAAAAAGTATTTTCTTGTTTTATTTTATACACTATTTATTTTGTGTTAATATTTTTTCTCGTTTCGATATTGTGTAATATATAGACCTGATATGTTTTAGTAGGTATATCATGTAGTAGATCTCTATAGTAGAGCTTTGGGAATTTTCTAAGGCTATAACCTTGAAAATATCTGCGCGCCGACTCATCCAAAATTATTAAAATTTGTACGGTCGCATAAATTTGCCCTTTGCGCATGCATGACTCATAGCCGCTTAGAAAATCCACTACCTCTATCGTTTAGGGCTCCATGGTATCGTCCAAATATTGATATATTTTCAGAATATATAGAATAAGTCCCAGTTGCCCCAGCCTAAATAAAATGAGCACATTTCGTGAAATTGGCTGCTTAAGGTAGTTAAAGTGCAGCACTGTTTTTGTTACCTTTATGTATACAGGAGACCTACGATATAGCAGTTCAAATTACTGCTTACCCTCCACCGCCGCTTTAACGGTGCGTAGGGGAGTTAGAGTTTAGAATTAAATAAACTTTTTAGAAATATATTGTTTAAATTCATATATTTGACAATGAATTTATTATCTAACAAGTTTTTTTTTTTGTTTCAGGCCAAAAAAGATATATATCAAGTCAAATCTCAGAGACTTCTCTTAGCTCAGGATGAATATAATCACCTCAACAACGCCTTAACAAATCTTAACACTTCCAGGACTAGTTGTAAGTATCCATTTACATGATGTTATCTTTTTTTCTACTCATCTCTACACTTTTCTACTCAATATCTCAAGATATTGAATTCTATTCATCTCTATAGTGGCACATATGAAAATGAAGTCTTTATATGGAAGTTTTGAACAGAATCGAAATATAAATAAATATAGTAGAATGAAATATAAATTTTTCGAAGGTGGTTGATCCAAATCCAAACCATCTCCTCAGTTCTTTTAGCCACGATTTCTGGCGATTTCATGCTGATCTTTTTCCAATACGATTTGGAGTAATTCATGTCTTTCACTCTAAATTCATGACCCAAGTATTATATTTTCCGTTCTTTGATTATACTTACAGTATACTATGCAGGCTCACAATACTTGATAAAGTGTAAAATTTATTTCTAGTTAAACTGGATGACAATCTAAAAACGTTTTACTGACTGTCTTATTGGAGCCATACTGCTGTGATTTTTGTAATTTTCTGTATATAATTCACCCATTTCATTATTTTTGATATTTCATCATTTTTAATGTTCAAGAATAAAAGAAAAGAAAAAAAAGAAAAGTAGCAAGTGAAAAAAGGCAGAGATGAAACTAAATATTGGAGGAACAAGAAATTCAGTGTCATAGCATAACTTGCTCCAACTAAAGTCAATCAAATTGTTCCATGAAAATAGAGAGTACCTACAGATTGGCCAAATCAAAGAGCAAGATTTCAGATATACTATATCCAACTGCTAATGAAAAATGTTCTCAAATTATGGAACAAACCATTGAGGCAGAAGAAAACCATGAAGAAGACCCGGTTGAAATAACCTCGACAGAAGTTAAAAAAGGAAAGAAATTAAAACACTAGAGAATCGATAAATTATTCAAACACAACAAGTCACCAGATCAGAGATGAAAACAAGAAAGGCACGTTTCATAAATGCGACAATCAGAGAACTATTTCTCTTACCTCACATGTTAGCAAGATAATGCTACAAATCATCAATGAGAGACTTAAAATTTTACTTTTTAAAAGAGTATTTCTCTTTGTAGGAAAGAATAGCTGGCCGGATTTGCCAGAGATAGAAGTATGAGACAAATAATAGAGAAAACAAGGAAATTACTGTTATCCTGAATGGAATATCCTGATATCCTGCTGTAAGTGCTTTATAAATAAATCAAGATATTCGACAAAGTCAAATGGCATCACTTATGACGGATACTAAAAGAAGTAGGCGTACCGCAACACCTGATTTCCCAAGATGACACAAGATGAATTGACCAGATCTCAGTTTCTGCAAAAGACCAATGCACGAAGTAATATAAATGACCAGAGACAGAAATACACAACGTGGACAATACACAACTATCACTACACTCCCTTCTGGGGTCAAGCCTGACGAAAGCTACTTAAAATGTTTTTAGACGGGGCTAAACGAAGAAGATCTACCGACCTAAGAAGATCAACCTACCAAATGAACAGCTTGTGTTACATCCATATATAAGGAAGGAAATTAAAAATAATGCTACGAAAACTATCGAGGAACAAGTCTTTTATTTGTGGATTATATGGAGAAATCGTAAAGGAAAATCAAGAAACGAGGGAAAAGGGAAAACATTGATCAATACTAAGCAGGGATTACAGTAGTAAAATTGTGTATACATCCCATTTATAATTAGAACAACTCATCATTAATCCACCAATGAACAAGCAGAATTGTTTATAAAAAGGAAGGAGAAGAAGAATAAACTAAGTAAGATATAAATAGTAGATAAGACAAGTACATGACAAGAAGTATACTCATCTACAGTTCTGAAAACTGCATAAAGAATGAGAGAAACAGATCAAATAAGAGCATTAAAGTGCAAATTTCTAAGTTGTAGTCACAAGACATTACAGAATAAATAACGCAGAGGTTAAGTAACATATGAGAATATACTCCGATATAACCACTTATATAGAATAAACAAGATTAGCCTGGTACGGATATATCGGAAGAGCAGATCAGATGCTACATAAAGAAAATTACACTATGCAGTCCGATAGGAACAAAAACAGAGGGAGACTTCATAGATTGTTTAGAGATGCAATGAAAAGAAGAAACCTGTAAGATGGAGATTAATGGGGTAGAAAAAGATAGGTGGAAATCAGTCTGCGTCCTTATTTTTGGCTCTATTCTATAATATCTTTTCACCACTCTTCTAAAATCATTCAAATATTTGGTAAAAAAATTTATTTGATTATTCTAGCTTTTTTCTTTAGATCTTTTTAGCGTGTTTACATATATTTGGATTAGTTATTGCTTATCTAGCTTAATAACTTTATTTCAATGTTCTGGTTATAAGTCTAGCCTAACACTTATATAATCATATTTTGGGTTGACAGTTAATCAAATGCGTGAGAGCCACATTTATGAAGAATGGAGAATAATTTTTATATCTTTTCCGTTAACATCGATCTACCTAAATTGTTATTTGTCAAATTGTCAATCTCATGCCAGATTTATAGTATTCTGGAATTTGTGTGAAAAATGTATTAACATATAAGAATATTAACATATACGAATTAACATAACAGTAGAAGAATATTATTAACCAGCGTTATTTTTTAGTGTGTTCGTCGAGCAGTAGCGTTAGCACGAAGTACGATCCTGACCTTTTAAAATCCGATGTAGCTTTAGCGAAAAACAGGGTGTCCAGATTAAAATCGGAATTAGAACAAATTAGGAACGAAATGACGTATACACAAAGAGGTGTAGAAACATTAACGAAGTAAGTTTGATTCCTATATTATCTTAGTATGATGACTCGAGACCGAAATATATGCAACAAAAAAGTAACGATATTTTACAAATACTCTAAAATTTTTTTTATAAAAATATGCAGATATATGTAATTTTTTATAAAAATATATTTATGCAAAATATGCCAGATATGCAAAAAATTGCATTTTGCATATATGTCTCTAGTGATGGTGTAGTTAAGTTAGGTTAGGTTAACATCCTAATAAGGCATAACATATAATACAAGATAGACTGATTGTTGTAATACAAACCCATTCCCCCAGTGCGACAGAGAAAACTCACGCAAAGCAGTCCCTGTATTTATTTCTAATTTTCCAGGTTTATCGACCACGTCACCTAAATGACCAATGAGAAGGTTACGTGGTCGATAAACCCGGCTCGTTAGACAGAGATGCAGGGACTGCTTTGACTTAATTCTCTCTGTCGCACTAGGGGAATGCGTCTGTATTGCAGCAGTTAGTGTCTATCTTGTATTATATGTCTATGTGATAGGGCATCACATACTTGGACATTTGTTTTAACTGTGGTGCTCTATTAACGTAGTCTATATGAACAAATTTGCTTTAGTCAATTATCCATAATTATTGAGCTATTAATTTATCTTTCAATCTTGTACCATTGCTTAAATAGGTACCAGCCCCATTATTAAAGACATTTCATTCTGCTTGATTCTGAAGCATCTGCTAAAATCACCTGCTAATATCATTCAGATATTAATAATATAGCGAAATATGTATTCTAAATTTAGCAAGTGATTCAGGTTTTTTTAATAAGCATGTCTGATGCAAACAGGTGGTTACAATATAAGAATTTAATATAACAATCAAGAATTATTTAATAATTTTATACAAAGAATACTTTAATAACGTTTAGTTATGTTTATTATTTAATTATTTTATTTGGTTGAGTATATTACGTTACATACTAATTTTATATTTATCTGCAGACATCTGTGAATTTTCGAATGTCATGTTCATATGTTAATCAAATAAATACTAATAAACAAAAAATAATAAAAACTAGTAGCTGCACTGAGTAATTAAGTCGCTAAAATGTTTGGTTAATTTTAACTGGTGTCTGAAAATGAAAAGTCTTCTCTTTCTCTCCCTATTAACTGCCGTGCATTCAAAATTGACATAGTACTGCTTTATGAGTCTCCACTTGTATTTAACTTTTGTTTCCCTTATCAATTTGTTTCGCAGTCTTTTTTAGGTCATCACACCACTTCGTTTGTGGTCTTCTTCTCTTCCTTTTTCCTATATATGTTCATCATTTAGTAATTTTTGTACACTTATTTGTTATCCCATCGTCCTGCAAACTCCCACTTTAGTTGTGTGACTGTTTCTGTTGTCTCTTTACTTTTGATTTGTTTCTTAACCAGTATATACATATCCAGAATCGCTCGTTCCATTTTTCTCTGTGTCACTTTGAAGTTTTTATGTTATTTCTTTTGTTAGTCTCAAAATTTGGGCTCCAATATATGAGCTAATTTCGCAACAGCAGTCCATCCAGTCTTCTATCTAGTTTGAACAAAGTTATGAAACTACTTTCTTGCGGCATATCTAATTTAAATATCAGGTTGATGGGCATTAAGCCACAATTATTGATTGTAATGAAGATTACATCTTTAACTAACTCATGTAAGATCTGTTGTTACCCTCGGAATATCACATTCTGACTGTTTTGTGTGTTTTTTTGTGTTATATGTTTGTGTAATGTGTATCGCAGTTGTGGTTGTGTAACGTAGATTTGTGTTTGTGTACTGTGTTTTGCATATTATGTATTGTGTATAATTGTAGGTGATATTTCCACTACTTTCTATTACTCAGCTATTGTTGGTATATTCTTGTCTGTTTCTTTCATGATTGATTATTTCAAGTTCATGTTCGTTTATCCTGACACTTAGTAGTCTTGCGGTTTCTCCGACGTAGAAATTGTTGCATTCACAGGGTATTTTATAGATGCAGTTTTTTATCTTTCTTGTGTGTGGGATTTTCATTACAATTAATACTTGTTGTGTAATCCCATAAACATAATATTTAAATTATATTTATTTATTTTCTTTTATATATTTTATTCATCTATAGCTATTACTGCGATCTTTTCTGACCCTATATTCAAGACTTTTCTTTGGTATTTAGCTCCATTAGGTTTATCTATTTTTACTGTACTCCTATTGAGTGCTCCATAAAATTCTTCATAAAATCGTTTCTGAAAATTCGAATTTTTTTTGAAAATGATTCCCAAATTGGAGATCGAAACGTCAAAGCAAATATAAAATGTAAATCTCATTAATTGTGGTATAGTCCCGTATCAAATAATATTTATCTTACCGTGTTCTGTTTCACGATTCTGATTTTCAGACTAATAATGTCGCATTTTCTCAAATAATTCAAAAATCAAAATTCAAAATCAGCAGTAATTTGGTCCTTCGATATTTTCTCTATATCCGATTTAGTTTTTTCTACCAGATGATCATGATGAGTTTGCAGGTCCATTCTTATTAGTATTTTTGCTGTTTTCTTTCTTCTTTATATTGTAATTTATGTTTTCTTTGTTTAACCTGACCCTTTCTCTTTTCTATACATTATTTGTATCTTTGTGGGTTAGGTTTTGGCTTTTATCGGACGGTCTTATTTTCTTTGATGCTTCGACTTCCAACGCTTTTGCCAGCTTTGTGGCAAGTTGTATCTTGATTATTATATGTAGGATCTCCAAGTTTTTCTTTCAATGTTCTTTGATAGTCATCTTTTTTGGTTGTTTAATATTTTATATCTTCTGTATTTTTTTGTTTATTTTAAACATATTTTTGTTCTCTTTTCCTGTTGACCCATATTCTCGATCGAAATAGCGGGTTTTCCTTTATGTTAGGTGATTTATGAGTGTAACATATCTGATTGTCATATGGTATTATTATACATATTGTAGTTTTGGATATAAAAATTCTAATATGTGATTGCCTAGTAGCTTATTTTGAGGCTTAATTGATATAAATCACTCAAGACAATTTTAAGTTAATATACTAAAGCGTTTTTAATTCCATGCCATCTTAAACTTAAATGTGTGTACAAAAATGTCTAAAAATCTATTTTTTGCTATTGGATCTCTTGATAGTGATTTAGTCGGTTTTATCTTAAATAACGCCCAACAAATAGTTTTATTTAAAATATGTTCTGTATTTTTTATTAATTTGTATACATTTTTTCAGTGTGGAGCAAAAGCTTAGTATGCAGCAGGGCGCCTGCTACAACATATCAGAAGCACAAGCTATCATGGCCGAACTTAGGAATATTCAAAAATCCCTGTCTTCAGGAGAAAAGGAAAAGGCAGATCTTATGCAGTCTCTAGCCAAACTCAAAGATGATCTTACTAGGCTGCAGCTTTCGGAAAGTTCACCCGACATATCTACTCTCAGTTTACCTCAAGAGAAGCTCAGTACAGCTTCGCAAACTGATCTGTCATGTGAATTGGTTCCGATTGGTACTAGATTGGCCGAAATGGCCAAAATGAGGCTAGAATATGACGAAGCCAGGAAACGTGTACAACATATTCAACAAAAGTTGGCCGATCTCGAAGAAAAAGTACAACCTGGACAGTTAGAATCTGATAAAGATAGACTTTTACTATTCCAAGAAAAAGAACAGCTTTTACGTGAGTTAAGAAGTATAACCCCGCGTATGAGGTCAAAAGAGGAAATGAGTGATATACAATTAGAATGTAAGAGATTAGAAGATGATTTAAACAAAGCTTTAGAAATTTCCAATCGAGCCATAGCTGATCGATTAAGGTTACATGAAGAAAAACAACTTCTACTTCAACAATTGAAAGATGGTTTAAGGCAAATGACGCATTTAGAATCCCAGTTAAAAACCCTATCAGCCAGTACACTGTCTGTTAGTAGTAGTTCTAGTCTAGGTTCTTTATCCACAACTAGTAGCAAAGGATCTTTAAGTTCAGGATTAAGTTTTACAGACATTTATGGCGGTCCCCAGTGTATGAGTTCCAATAATATGGAAAAACCCATCGATATGGCAGATTTACATAAACGGGTTGAAAGACTATTAAACAGCGATAGTACAAACCTTATTCCTTCGCCTAGTAGATCACAACCTTCTTTATCTCCTAGAAGTTCGCTTAGTTCAGTTTCACCCCCAGTATCTCCAATGTACGAGAATCTCCCTAGTATAGTGCCTCCCCCCACTTACGATCAAGTGAAGAGGGATAGGAAACTACAACTAGATGAACGATTAGTGGAACTAAGACTCTCTAACCCTTCAATCGCGAGTGCTGGAAACATGGAATATCATCAAAGGAGCTCTTTTCCCAGTTTATCTCCTCTAACAGATCTATTGGAAGCTCAAGCTAGCAATATGTCACAAGGCTCCGGTTTGGGAAGGCCGAGCCGATATTCCTACGAAAGCTCAGGAGATCCACCTCTATCCCCCATCTCCGAAACCTCACCTGCAATAGATCACGACGAGATGCTTCAAGGAGCCGCCTTATCAAGGACGTCGTCCTCGGGAACGAACACTAGGTCGGTATCGGCTGCAGTTAGTGACGAATCTGTCGCGGGTGATTCAGGAGTGTTCGAGGCTTCCAACAGGAAGAGGGCGTCGCTGGGTTTCGTCTCTGACGTGGACGTTGAAACCGCACAAGTACAAATTAAACTTAAATATAGTACGACTGAAAGTATGCTCAATGTTACGATAGAGAAAGCAAGGAATTTGAGTGCCCTTTTGATTCCGAATAATTCAGAAGTGTAAGTATAGATTTTATTTCTTAAAATACAAATAAACAGTTTTAACACATATATAGTGGAGAGATTTAGTGGAATTATTAGTTTCATTATTACTTAACCGGTAAACATCACAAATGTATTTTTTTTTGGAAATATCTCTAACTTCCAGAATCACATTTCTGTAATTCAGTTTATAGAGAGCAACATATTGGGCATGAATGTCCTCTGGTGTATAATACAAGTCTGTTCTTCATTCTCACTATATAATTTGTTAGCCTGATCTCTCTCCAATGGCGGCACCGTCCAAATCAGGTTCTGGTCTCCTCCAGTTATCCATTCTCAGCATCTCTTTAGCATCAGTCTTCATTTCGTCTAACCAGCTGCTCCTTGGTCTTCCCATTGGCCGACACACCACCATAGTTCCACTAAAGGTTCTACTAGGTGTTCTGCTATTATCAATTTCTATAAGGTGACCTGTCCAGCGCAGTGTTTGTATTTTTGCATAATTTGCTATATTCGATTCTTTATAATATTTATATAACTTAATGTTGCTAATGGGACCCAGTATCCGTCTCAATATATTTCTTTCAAATGTATTAAACATTCAGACATAAGGCATTTTTATGTTTGAATGATCTCTCGTGTTTTATCATTCGCTGCAAATAATTATTATGTTTGTCCAATGTATTCTTTCAGGTTTTCTGTCTAACTTTGTGTATAAACCTTGTTGTTAACTTTTCATGGTTTTTATTTTGTTACTTTTTATCTTTAATTATTAGTTGCCTAACAAATATTGAATTTTCTATTAAAAATCGTTTACATTTGACTATTTTAAGATATATATTAAACCACATTTAAAGTAATTCTAATTTCAGGTATGTAAAAACTGCCTTGTTGCCTGCGGCATCGTCACATCCTTCAGTATTTTGTACAAAATATGTGAAGGATCTGAAGAAGGCAACGTTTGCTGATGCCTTTAATATACCAGTACCTGCAAATAAATTATTTACAAAAACTCTACAAGTCAACGTGTGGAATAAAATGTTGGATCAACAAGATAAGTGTGTGGTAAGTATCGACATAAATAAAATATAGCAAATATGCCAGTATCGGACTTAAAATGTTGCAAGAGGAGTGATATGATTCTTTACAATGAATATATCAGTTTTTAATAATATTTTAAATATTCCTGTTGTTATTAGTGTTGTGAGCATGCTCTAAACTAAAGCCCTGTTGCTTTACTGTAGAAATGTATAGATCCTGTCTTAAAATGCCTCAAATAATACCCCTGTTGTCTCTTGAGGAGTATTCTTTTCATGTGCCCAAGCAGTTTTTTGAACATTTCTATACTGTATAATTCTAACTATGCTCTCCCCTCGCATCTAATCTTGTATTACTTTTAATTATCTATGAGAAACCTATCCTCACTTCGGAGTATTTTTCTTTTAAAATCTGCCGTTTATTATGCCCAAAATTTCAGCAGCGAAAGTGATAACTAGTCTTATCAAAGTCCTGTAAAACTTAATTTTAGTTTGTCTGAACAGTAATGAAACAGGGGCAATCTTTACATTAACAAGGTACGGCTTGTTTCTCGCCATGGTTCATTTTGAGATCTATTGACTTTCTTTACTTTTTTTAAGTCACTCTGAGATCCTATATATGTAAAACGAGTGACTCCTTCGAAGTTAAATTTTCCAAACGTAAAATCCTGAGAGTTTCTCATCTTGATCAGCAGATAATAATAAGGGAAGTATAAAATTTGGAAATCAAAATTATCTGGTCCTGGAAGAACATATAATGTGAAGTGTACCTATAATGTGAAGGAGATAAAAAAACTTACAGTAGAATGTAAAAATATGTAGTGTAATTGATATATTTTTTAAAATAATGAAAATATCCAAAAAGATTACAATTTTCAAATCGTATTCGGTCTTGTCAGACCATCATCAGTGAAACCTGAAAGTAAGTAATCCCACTTGAATATAATGAACAAATGAGTTAAAATTTTGACTTTTAACCTAAAAACATGTGGCATGATTACTTACTTGAGTATTTACAAAAAACCACGTACAAAACGGTATAAACCCTGTACCCAATGTTGTAAAAATTAAAACTACAAAATTTAAATAGTGTCTTATCAGGCCTCATTGCGCTGATCTTCCTGCTTTTCTACATGGAGTAGGCAAAAAAGAAAAAAATACCGTAACAAATCAAACACGTGTTACAATATAATCTCAAGGCCAACATATAAACTCGATTACTAAATGAACATTAAAATTCCAAATTAAACAATGGATTCAATGAAATATATATATTATTATCCTGCCAACGAACTTGAGAGCAGATAAAAAACAAATAAAAAAAAAAGAAATATCGGTAGCCTGCTATTGCCACTTGTTAATTTATTTGTTAAAACTTACTGTTTAGTATTACTTTTGTTGCTCTAATAGCTTTTATGTCTCTCCACATTTGAGAGCTATTTATCTTGTACTTTTTATCGTCTAATTTGAAACACCTCTTGGTTTTCTACGTTTGAACAATTGTTTGAAGACAATTAATACCTTTAAGTTAGTGGATGAAGTAAATTATGGACCAAAAAATTTGCAGCAACAAGTTTATTCTGCAATAACAATGCTAAAGGTTGGTAAAAAACAGCAGGCCTCTATAATATACAAGCAGAACTACTTAAACTAATGGACAACGAATCAATAGCAATAATCACAAAAGATAATCAACAATATCAAAAAGATAACAATCAAAAGATAATCAATAACGTATGATATGTCTCATGAGTCATCTCCTAAAACTGTTACTAAAGATAATCCCTAAGTGGATTTACAAGCCGTGTGAAAGTCAAATGTCCCTCAATTAGTTCGGGTTCATAAATGCTGTTGTTCTCAGCCCAAGTCTTATGTGGAGATTCAGAGATGCCATTGCGACGTATGCGCTTATCTGGTTGATTACGAGAAAGCGTTTGATCAAGTACAGCATACCAAAGTGATGTAAATACAAAAAGAAGCAGGAATTAAGAACAAAGATCTGAAAGTAATTAGAAGCCTCTACTGGAATCACACCGCAAATCTCAGAATTAAAGGTGAACACACGTGGTGATCAAGCGTGGAGTGAGGCAATAGTGTATTTTGTCTGCTTTAATCCTCAATCTCTATTCTAAAAGAATAATTAGCACAGCTGTACATAAACTTGAAAAAGACATTCTGCTAAATGAGTACCGGTTAAACAACATCAGACATGCAGGTGACACCATAGTATTTGCGGTCAAGCTAGAAGTCCTTATGAACAAAATCATGTATTACAGTCAACAATATGGACTCTATATAAACGTAAAAAAGACATCTCTTGATAATTAACAAGAAGAAGATAATAAACCCCATATGCATAAACCAAGCACTATCATTTATGAAGAATGAACCAACAACTAGGAGATCAGACCTAGATGCACCTTCTACCGGATGAGGGCTTGCTTCAAGAGCCACAACCTCTCTCTTGGTATAAAAGTAAGAATGCTGCGATGTTACGTCTTCTGTCATTTTTTATGCTGTTGACTCGTAGACCTTGATCGAAGATATGTGGATATGATTCACAAATGAGGAGGCCCTCAGAAGAATGAAGAAAAACCGAGAGGTACTGACCTCCATCAAACCTCGAAAGCGACAGTACTTCGGACACATTATGCAAAATGAATCCATATATGCCCTCCTACAAGCAAAAATATGTGAAAAGCGAGGCCCAGGAAGAAGAAGAACCTCCTGGTGAAAGAACCTCAGAACTTGGTTCAATACAACACTTGTGTAGCTTTTCCTGCAAAATTTATACATTGGTTAGATTCGCGAATCACATAAACACGAGGCTGTTATATTCTATGGCTTTCCCCATATCTGGCGAATTATGAAAATGCACCCTATTGTCGACCTATTCGAAATCTTGTTTTTCTTCACCTATAGGAATTATTTTCCTTATTTTCTTAGCTATTATTGTTGAAAAAAAAATGGATATTCTTTCCAGTGTGATACTCTATAGTTAGCTAAATTTTTTCGGTCGAAATTGTTTTCACTCTCAAAGTACTTCGTCTTCCTGAATTATTTCATTTAAAAATTTTTGTTATTTCTTTTTATAGGCATAAATCTCCGTATTTTATTTGTTCATTTGTAATTGTATATTTTCGTGACGCTTTTTGGTTTTTCAATTGTCGTATTGCGCTTTTAACTTCATTTTCTGTTATTTATTTTCATTTATCCTTATTGCAACATATTCCTTTGAAACCTGGACTATCTAGAAAGCTGACGTAAACAAAATCAACGTCTTGGAGACTTGGGTATACAAGAGGATACTAAGAATTCTATGGACAGCACATCGTACAAAAGAGTCTGTGCTTCAAGAATTAAACAATACCAGGTTCATTACAAAAATAAACAGAAATGTCCGAGTTAATTGGGTCATATTACTAAAAGGAAAGAGGGCATGGAAAGACTGATCGTCGAAGGCGGAAGACCTAGAGCAAGATCTCGTTCACTGTGCTCTGATCAAATTAAAAAAATCATAGGACTCTCCCTTCTGGAAGCTTCTCAAAAAAGTCAAAATGCAGTTAAATCTGACTGAATGTAACAGTTTTCACACTATTTTTTGGCCTCCATAAAAGTCGTGTTCAACGCCCTTCGTGAACTTACCCAGTTCTTTTGGTATATACATTTGGAATGGATTGTAGAAGGAAGTTTTGTGAAAATTTCATCTTTATTCATCTATAAGGCAGACACATTATGTGAATAGGCTTAGGATAGATCGCTAACCCAATTAATATAAATATTTTAAATTACTATAATAGAAAAAATATAAATCATTACTATATTACTCTATTACTTATCATTTTATTTGTTGTTGTTGCAGGGGTGCGCCCAAGTGAGTTTAGCGGATTTCAATATCCATAACGTTTCTTCAAAATGGTACAACTTGCTATCATTACAAGAAGAAGTTTCGGCGATAACCCACCTCAAACAGGAGTCTGATGTTTCAGTTCGTGAGAGATCAGATGACAAACATACCGGAAAAGAAGAAAGTTCCGACGACTCTACAATCATTTCTTCACAGACGTCAACTTTAACACGAAACCAAGAAACCGTCTTCCCCCCAACAATTAATCTCAATTTCGAGGAACTCTATGATTGCTTCAAAAATTCCGAGGAGTATGAATCTGAAGATTCCGATGAGGACTTAGAGGACGACGAAGAAGAGGAGTGTGAAGAGGAAGGAATAACAGTGGAATTTAGACCCAGTGAAAAATTAGATGTAGTTTTGGAACATGGTATCGATGGAGAACCCGAGTATTTCGATAAACAGACAAATACTGAGTGTACATTCCATCCAGAGCAAGCCAAACAGATGAGGTTACAAGCCTCCAAGCAAGGCGCTGTCATGGATGATAGGGGTGCTATCAAAAGGTAATATTTAACTCATTTTCGTCAGTAAAAACTTATTTTTAATTCTTTTTTGTATAAGAAATAATTAAAACCGTCTATAATCTAACTGTCCCTGTATAAAGTTATCTTAAGAGGCCACAAAATCTGACAGGATGAAAAAAAATATTGAAAATAGCCAACTGTGACCCTGACATTTTAATAAAAATTCCTTAACCATAATAAAGCGGCAGGATACTTGTTTAAACACAATTAAAAGACAGTTTTTTTAAAATTATATCGTTAATTAATTTCCTAATTAAATATTTGTTACATAAAATCATCTGAAAGTACATATTTTTCTTTTTCTATTGTTACAATTAATTGTCTATAAAATATTTTAATTTAGAAAAAATGAATTTCATTATTTATATTGTTTTCGTCGTAAAGTCACAATAAGTTAATAAGAAGCATTGATTCATGTAAACAAGTTTCAATCGAAAAGTTTATTAATAGTTTTATTACATTTGAGTATATTATATCTTATCTGATTTCTTATATTAACAAATAAATAATTTCTTTGGAAAATAATGTTATATCAGTTGTAATAGCTAAACATCTATAAACAATTTTTAATGTTGATTTGAAAATTTTCCATCACGGAGCCGATTTTTTTTTAAAGTTAGGTATCTATACTAAGATATCTAAATTAGCTAAATTTTTGGAAGTCCTGTGTTATAATTCAGTCATACTGCAGTCTGACTTAATGTACATCTTCCATTCATTCATGTTACCACTCAAGAATTCTGGAACCCTATACCAACTTGTACAGGTCCAGTTGATGGGCAACATATGTTTTGGAGTCACTTGGTGGTTTCAAAAAAATGTTTGCCGCCTGCGATCTCATTCCTTGTAGTCATGAAAGTATAAAAACTTTTTTGTGCAATTAGTACATTTTAAACTTATAATAAAATTTATCCAAAGTAACATCAAGACTAGCAGATTAGTTAACTTCTTCTTCCTCAGCTTTTTCTTTTCAGGAGTCGCTGTTTCTTACTCTTCGCCTCTCATTTCTGTCCATCGTGACTTATTGATTTAAATATTTCTCATTTATGTCCTCTGCCACACATTCCTTTCATCTTCTCGGTTTTCCTCTACCTCTTTTTCCCTCACTTCTAACAGCTTCATCCTTTGTTCCACGTAGTTCTCATTTCCTCTGTCTACGGTCTGACGTGACCGAAGCATTTCAATCTTTGTTCTTGAACCTTTTTTGAGACTGTAGACTTTCCCTAATCATGTCGTTTCAGATCTTGTCCCTGTTAGTCTACCTCCATCCTCTTTTCCTGAACTCTCTTTACAGGCCACATATCCTTCACGAGCTTTACGTATTTCTTAGGAATCGATTTCTCTCTCATACATCTTCATAGATCTTGTTTAGGAACTGTGTCATATACCTTCTCAAGATATACAAATACCAAATGTAGCTCTCTTTTCTTCTCGCCGTTTGACTCTTATCAACTGTCTTAAATCATACAAGGCATTGGTATAAACCCAAACTGTCTTCTCGTAATGATGTCTTTTCGTTAACCTTCGCTCTACAGTTCTCTCCCAAATTTTCATTGTGTCCTACATTAACTTTACTCTATAGTTACAGTCCTGATTGTCCCATTTATCTTTATACAGTGATACCATCACGCTCTCTCTCCATGCATTGGGCATCCTTTTTTCCTCACAGAGCAGAGATAATATAGCAGATTATTTAGGCTAGGTTCAATATGAATGGGAGCTTATCCACTCTTTCACTCGACAGATTAGTTAACATAAGCTAACTTCCAGACAGATTAGTTAACATAAGACTGAAAACATGTTGATGTGGACTAACCACTTTGAATAATGTTTATTATAAATTTAAATATACGAATTACAAAAAAGAAGTCCTTATACTTTCTGTTTAAATTATAAATTTAATACTTGGACTTAAAAAAAGCTCTAAAAATGTGAAGATACTGAACTAGTAGTAGCTTTCTGTGAGTTTTGAATATTCTTCTTTTTCTTTCTTGTATGTAGCCTTTAAAGCCTGTTTCTTCTTCAATATTAGCCTCCTAAATTGTTTAAATCATCGCACCATCTTTTTCTTGGTCTGCCAATACTTCTTCGTCCATTTGGTGACTTATCTCGTGCTATTCGTACTATCCTATCCTCTGCCATTCGACTAATGTGTTCGTTCCACTCCTGTTTCCGTTTTGTCACCCATCCATTTATCTTCTATATTGCATGCCCTTCTTATGGTTTCGCTTCTCTCCCTATCCAACAGATTTTTCCTGATATTCGTCGGAGTATTTTCATTTTTATTTTTTCTAGTAGTCGACTCGTTTTAGACGTGTCAGGTTTTGTCTCCGGCGTGTAGGTTAATATAGGTCTAATTGCTACTTTATAGATTCTTGTTTTGTGTCTTGTCTTAGCTGTTTGTTCTTCCAGAATGTGTATTTAAGATATCCCGCCGCTTTACTTGCTTTTAAGCTTTGTTGTACTTCTTCTTCAACATCTCCGTAATATTTGGATTTCTTTCTTCCCCTTTCTATAACCATGAGCTTTACGTACTGCTTGTATTATTTCGTCCATTATTATATCAAAGAGAAGTGAGCTTAACGAGTCACCTTGTCTGACTCAGCTTTGTACTGGTATACACTGTGTTAGGTTTTCATTTATCTTTGCCTGTATTCGACTATGGAAGTAGATGTTTTCGATGGTTTGTATAATATTGATTGGTATGTTTCTTTTATACAGTAGGTGTAAGACGTCTTTGACTTAGATGCGATCGAAAGCCTTGTATATTCTATGTAAAATTTACATTCTCTGCAATCGTGAAATCATTAATTTCATTATTGGGTATCTATGATTCCAATGACAATAATTATGATCATTAAATGTAACAATTTTGCTTTTTGCAATCAGTTTTGACTACTTTGAAGTAAGTTTGGTACTAATATCTCACTCTAATTTGAATTGAACACTGAAATTATGTATTCACATCCAGATTCAAAAGGTAGACAGATTTGTGCTTTTTGACGATTACTACTACAATATTTTTATTTTCAATTTTCTGTTGTCAATATATAAACTTTCATGCACTTTTCTTCAGAGACTTTAGTTGTTTTTATGAAGTCGACACTGAAGTAAATTCTTTCTCTATGATAGTGCTTCATAACAAAAGCAATCACTAAAATTCGTGGTGGCAGTATTACCATAATATTTAGTACAGTGAAACTTCTCCATAATGGCCACCAACGGCGAAAATAAAATAATTGTCCGTTGTGTAGAGTTATGTACATATTTGCATAAGCATGAACACAAATAAAAATTTCTGACGCAACATTTAGAATTACATCAGATTTTTTTTGATTTACTCTTGCATCACCTTTATATAGAAAAATAATTCCAAGTATCTTAATGTTAGGTACGTATCATTTAAATTACTAACAGTTGTAGTAAGCTCTAGTTTATCGACACTCTCATTGTCGGAAACATTGGACACCTGTCCATTTTCTTTAAAATCACTAACACAACCAGCTAAATTTATGTTAATAGTCAGATGTCAGTCAACTGTCAAATGACAATTTCTTCTCCATTACTATTGTTTTTAAAAAAAACGCACCTAATGAAACTCTTTTCAATTGTTTTGGTTGAAACGTCTTTCCATGCTGCGACAATCCAAATTAAGACGTTAGCAATCGTTGTGGACTTCTCCAGTTATCCGTTGATAAAGGACATTCTATAGACTATAGATGATAACATTCTTCTCATCAAAAACTGTCTATACAGAGATTTAAAGTTTTTAATTATTCCTTGGTCTAACGGTTGACAATGTGCTGTAGCATTAGGTGGCAAAAATAATATCGATATGTTAGATAACTGAATATCCGGATGGGATGTTGCGTTTTCTAGAAATAATAGCAAATCTTGCCTGGAGTTGTTGTGTAGAGGTTCCGTTGCTCGGGGGTGTCTTTTTATTTACTCAGATATCAAATGTTCGGTGACATAAAAACTGTCAGTTCAGTAGAGGTTTCCGTTGTGTAGAGGTGTCCGTTAACAGAAGATTTACTGTACTTTTAAAATACTTAAAATATTCAAATGAGATTTGAGTTTGAACGACTTGTTCATTAATTTTCTTATATTACTGATAAATAACTCGTATATGTGTTACAAAATTAACTAAAAGGACTTAAACGTGTTTTTGGCCATTTTATTTTCATTAAAATTGTGGTTTAAAGAAATCAGATAATCTTGTATAAAAATTATGTTATGTAATATTTATTTACATTTATTATGAATTCCTTGTGTGGAAGTGACTAAAAGATATAAGGCTATTCCATGGCTTGCTGTAATTACGTTTTTTTAGATGGCTCGTTGTTTACACTACAGTGTTTTTATTTTATTAGTATTTTTAAAAAACAAGATTATTCTTTAAAACATATACGCAGTTTAAATAAATAAAAATAAAACCTATTAATGTAGGTGTCATTATTTCAGTAAAATTAAGTACCCTTTCTGTTTATTTTTTATTTATAGCCTGATACTATTCATTCACAAAAAAATTAATAAACAATAAAAATTTTATATTTCTGTTTTTTTTGCGTAATTTGCTACTTGGATATTTATGGAATTTTACAACTTGAGACTACCATAATAGTATTTCAATTAACTTATGTACCATATACGAAGGGCTTATTTTATGTTTTTACGAGAAGTAAGATGGTTAAAAATGGTTTTACTCATTTTAGAAATATTTGTCTTTGGTGGTTTATGAAGAAAATAAAAATAATAATTTTCTACCTTGAATGGCTTCAATATATTTCCTACTTTTGTGTTCTTCTTTATTTACCCTTTGCTTAGGTTTTTTCGAGTATTCTTTTATCTTAAAATGGGAAAGTTTCCAGTGGTTGGGCATATACTTTTCTCTTATCTCTAAAAACACTTCAAGAAATTAAGAGCATTGTTTTCAGAAGGTCTGTAAATAAATTCGTTCACTGTAGCATTTGTATGAAGAATTTGCATCTTTTTTAAATACTACATTTATTAACAATCAGAACGTGTGATGAAGTTCTGTAAAGCGGCAGGTCCTACTATAATGCTGGTCAACGTATCTTTAATCTTCTTTTGAGATGATTCATTAAGTGAACGGAGTAGATTATTGTTGTGATAATCTAGTTTGTCATGATGTTTTATACTTCTCTTCGTTAAGTCAAACAGAAAATATTTGGTGCTAGTATGAATGGTAACTCTGTGTTGTGAATTTTTTTGTTTTATTATTTAGATGCCGCATGGTACATTTGTTATACTGTAATAGACAAAATATGGTCGATCGTATAACAATTTCTTAAAAACACAGCCCATAGCAACGGCAATATTGCTAGAAAATCATTTTGGGAAATTAAAATGCAGAATACAACTTCGCAATAAAACATGTCGCTACTTTTCAAAGTAACGTAATTTACTACTTTTCCTTTAATTTTTTTCTTTCTTTAGTTTTTTGCATATTTCTCCACTAGACTGCATTATTTTTGTATATTCGGCCAGCTCCTGACATTTTCTGATGTAGAATATTAATTTTCATTTGTTTCTTGAAATTGTTTTTTCTATAGAATCTTCCCCCGATGGAACCCATAGATCCTCGTTACAGTATTTGAACTACTTTAATCTGGATTTTGTTTGCCCTCAATGCCTCTGCCCAGGGCAAGTGTTAAATTCATATTCAGTTTCTTCTAGTTGTGCGACTTGTTCTGTGTTGCGACTTTAGCCAAACTGTTAATTTTTGATTCCATTTTGTTTCTGAAATTGCAAGGTAATATAATATGTCGTCTACAAGTATCGTATTCCAGTTGAATCCAGAATTTTCCTTTCTCATCGACCAGTCAATGAAAGTTATAAACAAAATTGGAGATAATACTCAATCTTGCTTGTCGTAACCTAAATTCTACAAATATTGCTTTTAGCGGTCTTGTAGTATGTTCTATATATGACATTCAGTTGTTATATAAAGTATTTATCCAGTACAATTCGTCTGCAGTCTTTATTTAATCAAAATGTCCACAGTTTTTTCTGTTAATTAAGTCAAGTGCTTTATTACAACTTATGTATAGGTTTTACAGTTTCTTCTTCTTTGCTATTGATATGGTGAACATGAACACAGTTTAGCAACAAGGGTTTTAACCAAAACAGTTTCTTTCAACTTTATTATTATTAAATTTGGTTATATTTTATATTTTCAGGTCACAAACCTTTTCGCCTAGCGCCCACGTATCCAAGAACCAATACATCTGCAAACTAAACCGCAGTGACAGTGACAGCGCAATGCCTTTGTACCGAAGAGGCGGCAAACCTTTCGAGAGGCACGCCGTAGAAAGGAGATCGCTACGTTTCCGCCGCCCATCGGGTTCGATGGCGGCTCTATCAACGCCAAAAACACACACCCACCATCCGACAACGGCGAGGACGTCCATAGATCTGGAACTGGATCTTCAAGCCCAACACACCCGTTTGGATAAACTTAACTCCGAGTTGGGTAGACTGAGAGAGCTGAAAGAAAGACTGGAAGTGGCCAAAGAGCAAGGTTGGTATTTTGACTACTTAAATTATAAGTTTTGAAAACGATATATAATTCTATTTTAGCTTTAAATTTAGAAAAATGATTATATATTTTAAAACGCGGAAATAAAGTTTATTTCTTGTTATAGGTGATACAGAATTGGCTGGTTACTTGCTGGAAGACCGGCAGTTCCAAAATTTGATCGCCCAGGCTGAAAGTTGCAAAGCAAACAAAACAGTAGAAGAAAAGAAAGTGGAGAAAATGTTGAGGAAGGTATCAAAGGAGATTTATAAGTTAAGAAAATCGAAAGCAGGAAATGGCAAACCTGACGTCATATCCTTCCAGTAAGTATACTTTTTCACTTTATTTAGGATTTTTAATATTTGGAGACAATTCTAAAATTTAGTATCAAGCTATATAATATGTCTGTCTTGATTAGTTAATAGGTAGTAATGTAGGTCGTAGGTAGGGCGTATATGAACAGGCGAGTGCTGTAATTCATCAAGCAAGTTATGGCTATTACCACAAGTTTACACCTGAAATATGAGTAATACTGCGACCGCGCTTGATTAGTCAGATTACTTAGATTATTTCCTCAGGTAAACCGCCGCAACTGATGCAATGGGCGAAGAAACGTCAAATCGCAAATTCTCGTTAGTCACTCTCATATTCACATCCCATCGCTAACGTTTACACCCAGTCACATTCACGGCCGAGAGAGATAGTCACTCTCACGACGGGTCACGACGTGAACCGGTCGGTCACGGTCACGGTGAACGGTTCACGTGCAAGAAATGGGCAAAGAATGCGCAATAATAAACACAATAAAAATAAGAAAGTTACATTATCTGGGAAACGTAATGAGGGGACAGCGATATGAACTGCTAAGGCTGATAATACAGGGAAAGATAAGAGGAGGAAGGAGTATGGGAAGAAGGAGAGTGTCATGGTTGAAAAATTTAAGGGACTGGTTTAAATGCAGTTTAATAGAACCCTTCAGAGCAGCCGTAGATAAAGTAAAAATAGTGATGATGATATCCAACCCCCGATTTGGAGACGGCACTTAAAGAAGAAGAATTTTATAACCGTAGATAAACCTTATTACTGTAAGAATATGTGTATTGTGAGTTTTATTTAAAAATTTGCGGTTATATTTTTCTTTCTGAACCCTCATAAATTTCAAAAAGAGTTAGAGTCTACTTCCAACTTTGTAATGTCTTCCTTTAATATATATGGTCTGTTAAGTATAGTACAAATTAAATATGCATTTCATCTTTTTTTTACAGAGAAAAAATGGCATTCTTCACACGCTCCGACTCCAGTGTACCTTTCCTTCCATCTCAGGAAGAGTGCCATCAACCGATTGCCACAACAACAGAATGCCTTAAACGGTTAACTTGTGACGACAAACCAGTTAATACGGTTAGTGAAGCTAAAGAAACTCCTTCAAGCAGTTCTGATCATGAAAATGGTGGATCGGAGAGGAGGTACAACTATGTCGTTGACAGAGTACTAGGAGTTGAAGTTTAATATTTATTAAATATGTAGATAAATTACTTATTAAAAACCGGGTGATATTGGTAGAACAAACATTGGATATTCTAAAAAAAATGTGATATTTTATATAAGCGAACAAAAGTCTCTTATTTTAAGTGACTGTAACCATATAAAACATATAAATTAGGGATTATTATAATTAATTATTGTGCATAAAAGGCAAAAGTGGTAGCTTTAGTATTTCAAAACCAAGAAATTATTTAGTGGTTAACTACAATTTGACATTTTTACGTTTGACCGTACTGTTTTTTATTTTGACGAAAGAGATTTCGATTTTATATTTGAGGAAAACTGCTTTTGCTGTTTACTCATATAGATTTGACGAATTGCGAAATGAAATTTGACATTCAATATTAAGTAAGGGAAAAACTGTGATATCTATTGTTGTTCAATCAATATTACAACGGCAATGTATATATTCTGTATAAAGTTGTAAATTTGTTTATTTAAGTGTTCCATAATCTCAAGGTGCCACAGAATAGTTTGTATTTTTTTTATTGTAAGGAGGCATCTTCTATGAAGTGTTCTTAACATATATGGTACGGTGTTTTTAAGACGTTGTATGTGTTTTATAGTTTATTGAAGTTAAAATCGGATGTGCAGTGTTCTCTGTTGTTGAATAATATTTTTTGAAAATAACGAAAACGCACAAGTGTTAAACAGAATACTTGAATTATGATAATCTTTATTATTAGACTGTTAAAAAACGATTTATAAATAGTGATAATTATAGGGTGATAATATAACCCAATAATTTTTTGGATCTGACTATTAACCTACATCTGATTATTTATATCTAGTATTAAATAAATTGTTCTTTATACGTCTTCTAAAATTCTTATAGCTTGTCATTTCATATAATAGAATAAAAATTAAACGAATTTTGACAAATTGTTCTAAACACACACGCCCATTCCTTATGACAAGTGACAGTGGATAGAAATGACATATGACACACTGTCAACGATACATCCAGAAATGAAAAATGTTCTGCATATTCGGTTATAATTTTTTGGGAACTTAACGATTATCATTTATGTTCTAGGATAAGCCGCCAAGGACGGCGCATTTCTAGGAGTGTCTGAGTATATTGTAGATCCTTTTGTTGTCAGCTACTGATTGCAGCTGGTATGCCCTTCTCAATCAATGATAATGTCAATATCATCATTTTAAGGGCCGTTGTAAATTGCGTGCCTCCCGAAACCACACTCTTCCAACTGTTTTGGCCTCAGACTACGATATCCTCCTACGCCTAACTTCCACATACCTTTGTTTACGTTATTTAGCTACATAATTGTTCTTGTAGCCCTTAGGCGTATTTTATCTTCGGGTATCTGCTTTACCACTATTTATTTTTGCAACAAAACTTGATTCTCCATAGAGTTGGTTGATTTTAGGCATTAATAGGTTTACCAATTTCCCCGGTCACACAGCATGATACTGGACATTTGTCAAAGAATTGAAAACGCCTTTCAAAATCTTGTCAGAACTGTTATGTACTGCTTGGTTGGTTGCAAAAACTTATTCTTCAATCAGTCTTTTCGGCAAAAAGTAAGATATTTTAGGAAATAAAAAAATCCATTGCTACTGTCGGGTTCCCATTCGCGATAGATCCGTTTTGGCAATGAAAATAAACGCCAATTTATCTGTGATCGATGGGCTGGACTGAATTTACCATAGAAAGGTACTCTTATGATGGGAGAAGAATACGTTTTATCTGCAATAAGGAACTCATGATAGAAGTAAGTGCTTACAAATAAGATCAAGTTAGACTAATTGTCAAAAAGCCAGCCTGCTTTATCTGTAATGCTAATCACATTTTCTGAATGTAGGACCTTCACTTTTAGCATTTTGTTACATTCTGTCAATGGGTGTACCCATGATGTAAGAGTTTGTGCTTGAGATTTCTACTATATCTATGATATATTTACCGTCAAAAAAGCATGAGAAAGGCATGAAAAATTTGCCAACTGATATTAAAATAGCGCGATAGATTAGGAGGATAGTTGTATCTTGCTTCTGTAGGCGAAGGTCAGAATATGTTCACGTGTAATTGTTTAGGCGCCCTTTTCTTAGTTGCATATATATTATAGGCATTATAGGGAATAGTGTCACCATCGACCTGTCAATAAAGTCAGGATAGCGCATATGATAGCCAACATGATATCCAATGATCGATAACCGTCATGAAAGTAGAAGAAGAAAAGAATCGACATGTTAAACAATACAAGAAGTTTGAAAATGAAAGGCAAATATCGAGCACAATTTTAACAATTAAATCTTTCCCAATTACTTTCGCTTAAAACAGCATCTTCAGGAGCATTTTTAAGCGAAAGTACTTGGGCAAGATTTAATTGTTAAAATTGTTCTCGATATCTGTCTTTCATTTTCAAAGTTCATTTATTCGAGCATTCAACCTTATATCAATACAAGAAGGGATGAAATTTTACATCTTCCAGGGCCTCGTTCCATTTACCTTTCTTTCTAATATTATGTCAAGCAGACGATATCTTTTACTATTTGAAGCACTGGAAAACGTAACATATTGAGTCTAATTTTCGTGTTTATATCTAGATCGTGTACCTAAAAAGTTTTGATACTTTTATTTTTATAGAATCATCAAAATCTTTATTGGTATAAAATACCTATTATATCGTTGTTAAAATATACGTGTATATCTTAACTCTTTCTTTAAGTCTTTGACTGTTTACACATATCTCTCCAGTTTAGTTTTTGTTTTTGGATATCATATATTTTGTCCATTTGATATTCAAAGATGGTCCGTATTTTTCGGTTCTCTTGGAAACTATCCATAATCTTTGAAGTTCGTCAAGACTGTCCACTGTCCATCGTCACTACGTCTTATGTTCTTTACGTGTTTTCTATTTACTTTAATAATACCTCTTAAAATATTCTTTCTGAATGTACATTAAACACAAGGGTGTCTCAGTGTTTTTGTCTTAAATCTTTCTTGATTTTGAAAGAAAATTTGTGGTATTATACAATCTTTTGAAATCTGTAGGTAGATTATCCTATTGTTCTGAAGTTGTTTTCGTATGGCTTCTTACTACAATTTATAATTTTGACTGGAAATAAGCTACATAATTTTTCAATGAAAAAAAAAAAAAATTCAATAGTAAGTTTATTTTAGCTGTTAATAGTGTGTCGTAGGAATTTGTTTGTTGTAAGTTTCCGACTATGAATCTGTCAAAATATTCCCGAGTTGATCGAATGGACTTTATTAACATTACCATTAACAGCTTCCATTAAAATTGTTTTTGCAATTTTAGTTTTATTATAAATCGATTCTTCGACGTAATTTTATTTTGAGACAAAATAAAAATTTCATGTGACAGTGGTGATAGATGGCTTTTGTATGATGGCCGCTTTCGATTCGATAGTTATCAATACTGAATAACTACTAAATCGGTAAATTAAAATTTAAATTTTGATTTATTTAATATGAATATAATTACAAAATACCACAGAGTTTTACTTTTTGACATTAATATAATAAATAAAAACGTTATTTTTGTACAATATTTTAAATAATTAGGATGAGATAAAATTTAAGTTCATTCAAATTAATAATCGATTACTGCCATCGACCACTGGCATTTCATTTCAGTCAACTTGATTAATATTTGCGGCAGATAAACTTCTTCTTCCTCTTTCAGTAGAATAAAGTTTTACTTTACTGTCGCAAATGGGGACTATCAATAATGAATGTCTTTAATGACGGTTGATGATAAAATAAGTTTTTTTTTGACGTTTATTTCCACTTCGTATTTGTGTTTTTAGAACGATTTCCGAAGTAGAAACGTCGACATAAACTATTTTAAAGTAATATTGTGGCTTATTTTCCGTATTGTGTGATTCCCGTCTATGTATGTTGCATACCTTTCGCTAGATTAAACGTACCAATATATTGAATATTTCTGTGTATTTTGTTCTTTACGATTTCTGACTATTTTTGGATTTTTGAATGCGCGAATGAGAAAACTGAGGAATGGGGAATATAAATGGATCCGTTTATGAAAGGTCCTTGTTTAAATAAAACTAAATTTAAACGAGTCATGAATCATTTTATTAATTTTCACAAAAAATATTTTAAAATTATGTTGCATAATAAGAAGCATTTTTATTGATCAACATTTCAAAGTTTTACAATTCTGTGATGTAGTGCCTTCAGATCTGAATATATAAAGTGTGTTTGAGCCTAATATATACTTTAACGAAAAAAATGACAACCGTCCATATAAAACGTCATATAAGTATACATCCAAAGAAGAAACGGTTTAAATGTAGAAATAATTTACTGCATACACTAATTTAATATATTTTTGATAATTAACACTAATTTTCCAGAGCTTCGTCCAGGTGTTGGTTCTAAACAAAACGAATGTTCAGGAAGAATGTATGCTTCTTTCTGAATACACCGCAATTGGACCTAAATCAGTAATTTTTCCGTGTAAAATATCCGTTGTACCCAAGACTCAAGCTTTTTCTTTGTTAAGTCAAGCACTGAGCCTTCCTATGCGCTGAGCTATAAAATCTTTATAATTTATAAAAATCGCGCGACGTCTCAATTAATTCCTAATTAAGTCTAATGTAAATATACCAATAAAATGTTAAATTGTATTTATCAATAATAGATCTTTAAAGAACGCATTTCTTTTCTTTTTCTACGTTTTACATGAGCATTTATATATATATTATATATATATTATATATATATATATATATATTATATATATATATATATATATATATATATATATATATATATATATATAATATATATATATATATATATATATATATATATATATATATATTTACAAAGTAAATTAATTGTAATTACTTTATCAGCTAATATTCCATAAATTTTTGGTTTAAAGTAATGAAAATGAAGCATTCGGTTGAGAACATCAATCGTACCTTTCTATCTACGTATACATTTGGACACTACTGCTATATACCGCTACTAGAATCGCTTAATAATAATTAAAATGGTTTTCGTTTTTTAAATTTTGAACCGATTTATAAAATTAAAGCTAAAAACATTTTAACGAAAACAGAATGAGGTCTAACGTGGGGTTCCAATGCAATTTTTATTCGAATGGAAGTATAATTCGAATGAGAGTGTATAATGTCATTGAACTTCACAACACTAATTGTCTTAAGAACGTACGAGTTGTTGAAAGGATTGTATCAGATTTGATTATTTTATGAAAGAAAAATTACGACAACTAGGTCTTCCGTATATTTCATATCAAGTTTATAATAATTTAACGCAAGGCCATTCCACTTTTCTATACCTTAAGTTTATATCTAATAAACCATTGCTATCAATTCTAAATTAGCGTTTATGTGATATAAGGTTTTCACTACAGCTTTTGTTATATGTTATTAATCACTTTGTCATTGTTATGATTGTACAGCCTGACCTTATCTTTGAATTACTAAATATTTGTGACAAATTTGAAAAACATTTAAAATATAAGAGTATTTTATACGTTCAGAGTTCATATGACGAAAGTGTGTCTAAATTTAGGTATAGCATTTTTTAATTTTATTTTGAAGTAATATTTAATAGTTTAATACTTTTTTTTTGGATTCTGTTATCATCTCTTCTTTTTATGTACCCCTATTATCTTATTTGGTTGATTTTGATGTCCTCTGTTATTCTATGTTTAATGCTTTTGATTTCTTGAATTCTTTCATTTCTTACTCTGTCTTATCTTGATTTACCGGCCGCTCTTCTGTAATAATTTATCTCTGTTGCTTCCAAAGTCTTTATGGCTTTCTCCTTCAGTGGCAATATTTCGTTTTCATATGTAACAATGCTTTTGACAATGCTCTTATAGATTCTGTGTTTATTTTCTCTCGAAATAGTTTTATCCCACAGTATGTTATTCAATTTGCCGTATTTAATCTCTTTATCCAAATTGCCGTCATTGCTTATGTACATGCATAGATATTTATACATTTTACAGCGATTTATTTGTTGTTGTTGCTCTTCCAAAATTAGATTTTGTTGTTCTTCTATACACATGTATTCTGTTTTTATATCTACTTCTAAAGCTAAAACTATTTGGTTATTTGCGAAACATAGTGTGTATAATGTAGTTTCG